CGACGGCGCGACAACGGGCGGTTCGCAATGTTTCAAAAATTCACGCGCAAGCTCGTCTTTCGGCATTCTCACGCCGATAGTGGCGAGATTTGCGGTGGCGATCAGCGGAACTTTTTCGGATTTCGGCAAAACCAAAGTCAGCGCGGCAGGAAAAAATGCGTCAATGAATTTCTGCGCATTCGGAGTGATCTTATCCGTCAAAAGCTTTATTTGTTCGAGCGTTCCGACGTGTGCAATAAGCGGATTATCGTTCGGTCTTTGCTTGGCTTCAAAGATTTTGCCGACTGCTTTTTCATCAAAAATATTTGCACCTAAACCGTAAACCGTTTCAGTCGGAAAGGCGACTATTCCGCCTTTTTTTATAAATTCTGCGGCTTTTTTTGGAGATTTAGTTAAAACTGTCATTATTATTGTTAAAAATAGTTTATTTCCACAAAAAAATATGCTACATTAAAAATGTCTTCCACGACGCTTCACAAAACTCAAACCATTCTAATTCAATCAAACGAAATTTTAGTCTTCCACAAGTAAAACTTTTGTTCACCGAATATAACTCTGTTTATGACTAAAAATGTTACTGCTTCCTACGATAAATTTAACAATTCCGTGATGATTGTGGAAGATGACCGGATCGTGGCAAGACTTTTGTCGCACACACTTTCACAACGCGGATTCGATGTTCAGGTTGCCGACAATGGTCGTCAGGCAATCGAAAGTTTAGACCAAATCCGTCCGGCTGATTTGGTTTTGCTCGACATTATGCTTCCCTATGCTGACGGATTCGAGGTTTTATCGCAAATCCGCGCACGCAAAGGTTGGGAAAATGTCCCTATCATTATGCTGACTTCAAAAACGCAGGAACCGACAGTCGTTCGCGCTTTTGAAAACGGTGCCGATGATTATGTCACTAAACCTTTTCAACTTGGAGAATTAATGGTCAGAATCAACCGCCTGATGAAATAGTGTTATGAAAAGAATTTTTTTATTTTTCAATCTTTTTCTGATTTTT